ATGATGTTACAGACTGATCGTGATCTGATCCATAATGAAGCCCAGGTTTTGAGATAAAACTTAAATGTATACTATGGGTATTTTGCGGCTACTTTATGAAATGACAATATTTTTTCATATTCTTTGCCACAAGAGTGTGAGCAGAGTCAATTAAAGGTCAATTTAGCATCAATGCTAAACATGTTTATTACAAAAATCTAATCTCTTTACTCTAACTCTGTTTTTGTACCGGCAGTAATTTGCCTTCACTCGTCTTTGGTGAAGGTCGCAGACTTGTACTTGACCTTTCACCTGTAGTAAAAAAGTGCTGTGATGCTTTCACTGACTCTTTGCCATCAGCAACATTAGTATTCGCTGTGATCAATGAGGGTCAATTAAAGGTCAATTTAGCATCAATGCTAAACATGTTTATTACAAAAATCTAATCTCTTCCCTTGACTCCAACTCTATGTTTTTGTACCAGCAGTAATTTGCCTTCGCTCATCTTTCGTGAAGGTCGCAGACTTGTACTTGACCTTTCACCTGTAGTAAAAAAGTGCTGTGATGCTTTCACTGACAAGTGATTTATGCTACTGGCTCTTCATCACGTTGACATCTTGAGCGTATCTAACACAGTGTTGTGGATTCTGTTTCATCTTTTGACCCGTCTGTCTGATCACAGCTCCTCATCTTTACACATGGGGATAAAGGTTAGCAAATCGCTTTAAGGTTTTGACCTCGTGGTTTTTGGAGAGTTTAGCCAGTGTAGTCGCCTCTTATAGACAAGTTCTAAAAAAAAATAAAAAATAACAGCCTCACTCTGAGGCTGAAAACGCCAAAAAAACTGTAGGGAATGATTATGTACAACACCAACACCAAAAAAACTGTAGGGAATGATTATGTGAATTTTCTTCCTAAATACAGGGAAACAGCTTTTTAACCATACGAAAATATGTCTCATGTGCGAGGAAAAATAGAACCTAGTGTTTGTCGTACACTTTGAGAGATGATCCTGAAGAGACTGGATCCCTGCAGCGACAGAGAATTGTCACCTTTGTGTTGGGTCTACAATAGACAGGTCTATGAGCTGGTGCTAAATCAACTGGCTGCTCTGTGTGTCTGGTCTGAGAGCTGAGCTCTGATTTACAGTCCTTTCAGGGAACGACACTCAGCTCAGGATGACACATGCAGGGGCGGGGCTGAGATGAAAGTGAAGCCTGTCTCTGAAGGACCGTCATGATTTCAGAGGCAGCTCACCCTGCCTGCAGTAGGATTAGGAAATTATCCTGCCAGATTATTTTACCAATGACAATAACTTCACCTGGAGAAATAAAGACGGTCCAGGCCTGAGCCTGGAACAGCAGCAGCAGCTAAGGTTCTCCTGGTGTCTGTGGTTTGATCTGTCTTTACCACAGATGTAGATATGGAGATAATAGATGTTTTCCTCTGGTCTCGAGCTTCTATGTCAACACCTCTGGTCCTCTGTTGTGTAATATCAAACATCTCTTGCACAATGAAAGGACGAAGCGTCATTTGTTACAGCTCATCCATAATCCTTCTACCTCAGAATCTCTACGGATTCCTGCTTCTCGTCCGGTAGTTTAAGGGGGTGAACCTGACTCATCCGCACATCTGGATCGGCTCAGCGACAGGAAGTCAAACATCAGTGCTTTTCTCTGAGCTGCAAACTAACCATTGGTCTGCTGCTCAGGCGTTTTTAGACAAATGCTACAACACAGTATTTTCAACCAAAATATTTAATTTATAAAGTACATCGAAGATAAAAAAAAAAAAAAACTTCAGGCAGAATCAAACTCCAAACCTCAAAAGCCCAATTGCCCTCGTCTTAGGTAGGTTATAATAATAATAATAATAATAATAATAATAATAATAATTATTATTATTATTATTGTTGTTATTATTAATCCCTTGTTTGTGCTTTTTTTTTCAAGCAACATCACTAAAATAGGTTCATCCAAACTTATGGCTCACAGGCCGTATATGGTTCATTGGTCTGAAGTTGTCAGTCATATGGTCCATGATCCACTTCTCATCTTTTTGACTGTGACATGATTGAATGCTGTTGTCGATGCAGCTTAAAGAGTAACGCACTAAGGCGGTCGGAGACGTGTTAGCTGGGATCAGTGAATTTATGACGGGTTCTCTCCTCGGTTTTCCCGACCTTGCTCCTGTCTTCTCGCAGCTTCTGTTGCTAGGTTCATGTCGGAGGAGGATTCCGACTGACCTGGCAGCCGTTCAGCTGTGATTACAGGGAAAACAATGTGCGACACGGCGCACAGAGTGTGCTGGTGGCGTGGGTCCAGGCCAACAGGAGTCACTCCCTGTTCTTCATGTGACATTTCTATGTGTTACACTCCGTTTCCCGCACGCCTCCTCACTCACTTTGATTTATTGGCTTTGACAATTCCAAATCTTAGAGGCGGAGCATGTCCTGATGATTTAATTGGGATTCAGAGTCTGGTGCCTCTTTTCTTTGGGAAGCCAGCCTGGGAAATGGAAGCTCGCTCCTACTGAAAACATGGCTTTTTTAAAGGAGTTAAAAATCATGACATAAATTATAGACATTCTTTGGTGAAGGCCAGGCCAGCTTTCCTAACCTTATCTGTTTACAACAACAGTGATTTGACATCAGTACACACAGGGGCTGGACTATACTGTATGTGACGTCCTTGTTTTCAGTTAGCGTTAGCTGACATTAGCATGGTCCTGGATTTGACAGAAGTTAAGGATTTTCTTTACATTACCAACCTTCTCACAGCCACTGCTGCTTTTATTCAAATGCAAATTAAAATGTATCTTAGGAACGCAGTGGTTACATGTCTGAACAGGCTGTGGCTCCGTTGGTACTGCAGTTGCTTTACCCCCAGAGGGTTGGGGCTTCAATTCTGGAATCAATAGGTTATATAGGACAGACTGTTTAGTATTTCTGTTCATTTTTTCCATGGAATTCTGTTATTTTCCATTTGTTTGTGTTTCTTAATCCATCCATCCACCCATCCACCCATCCATCCATCCATCCATCCATCCATTATTTACAGTCTGCTGTAACCAAGAGTAAAATAAAAATTCCAATTATGAAACTTGTCGGGACATGACGTGTCCATTAACAGACAGTTGCAAGAGTGGCTGAGATTGGCTGAGAAGTGTCAGCTGACTATTTCACCAACAGGTCATATATGTTTGATCATTTTTATCATAATGTAATGTGGACTGATACATCAGAAAAAAAGTGTTGTTGTGTTCATTTCTCTCTATAGGCTGGTGGACAGTAGCGTTCAGAGCCTGTCCATGTCCGACAGCCACCTGGCGGAGCTGGATGGAGACACCCTGCGACTGTTCGGACTGGGGGCCCTGGAGGCTCTGGAGAGGGGATGGGGAGTCCAGACTGCTGGTGCTGTCACCGTCATAACCTTTCGCTACGTCAATTTTGATGCTATTGTTCCAACACTGCCACGAATAAGGGTCAAATTTCCAAATCTATTGGTAATCATGGGTTTTTTATTTTCTCTAATTGTGTCTTTTCTGTGTGTAACAAAAATAGAGTTAATGCTCAAATCACTAACTCTAATGCAATCCATCACTAATGAGTTGTGAAAATGTTAAAGTAAACAGTGAGAGGGTTGAATATATCATTCAGTTCAATAATTCACAGGTGCAGTCGCTGCAGGGCTTCAGTTCAGTGAAGCAGAACAGATACATGAACGTTTTGATTGTGATGGAAGGTTTTCTCTGATTGATAGCATTTATGAAAACAAACTACTGAGTCTTTCTGGGACGTCTAAAGTTTTCTAATACTCAATTAAAAGGTAACTAATGATATAATATATATATAATTCGGTTAGATTAGATTAGATTGAATAGTTGAGTCATTCATTTCTGTACTCTATTTAACAAGTGACTAACTCTAATAATGTGCATCATATTCAAGGTAGGAACATTTTCTGCCTCCTGAGACATTGATGACTTTATTGCTCCGCAGCACCTGATCTTCTTGGAAACAAACATCAGCCGCCTCCCACAGTTAGCAGCGCTGGCTCAGGTGAGACGTTTGGAGCAGCTGACCGTCCAGCCGGAGGGAAACCCAGTGGTCAGTCTGTCTCTGTGGCGTTCCTTTGCCGTTTACCGCCTCCATCACTTCAACCTGCAGAAGATCAACGGCCAGGAGGTGAGACCGACTTATACTGAAGATTTAATACAGACTTTTGACACGTTTATTGACATGTGTGCGTCAACCCTCAGGTGACCATGAACGACGTGATCGCTGCAGAACGTGTGTTTGGAACGCTGGGCCACATAGCTGCCACCGAAACCCCCCGCTGTCGACTCCTGCTGCTGCTGGAGGAGTCCAGGTGAGAACACAACACAACACCAATACCAACACCAACACCAACACCAACACAACACAACACCAACACCAATACCAACACCAACACAACACCAACACAACACAACACCAACACCAACACCAACCGCAGATTAATGGCGGGGGGGGGCGCTGTGTTGTGG